GAGCTTCTGGCACAAAGCGGCTTCATTGAGCAGCAATTATTATATTAACTCCATAAATATTTTAACTTCTCAAGCAAAGCAAGGAGGAAATAACTCTTCAGGGTGGAATTAATAAGACCAAACCTCATTAAATCTCCCTAGGACAGACTGACAAATGTTTTAATAAGACGATGGGAAGGATTCCTTTGGTGCTGGTCTTCTTAATGACTTGTTTTTGCAATGCCAAATAAGATGTCTGCTAGAGGAGACCCTGAGGGATTGCTGAAAAGCCTCTGAGCATGCACATTTCAGACCTGGCTCCTGAGAACAAATGTCACAGCCTGGTTGGCAAATGGCCAGAGTAAGTTAAGTGGGGGGAAAAAACCCCACTGTTGTTTTAATTTCAGAGCTGTTGGACTTACTGGCCTGCCAAAAAGCATCAGATCTTCATGGACACCCCAATATTCCTCTGCACTGGCTGGTGTAGCTTTGTACCCAATATCCACTCATCCAACGAATCTTAATGTAGGAAATTAAGCTGATTTAAATGAACATGGGAATCACCCGTATGATTTTTCCTAAAGCTGAACCAAGATTATAGGCTGTAGTTAGGTAACAAAATCCCAACACTTAACTACGCAAACTCTTGCAGCCTTATATTCTAGCACCCGGAGCCAGTCCATGTGATCAGACAGCATTCGGCATAGCCTGCGCCTTCATAAACATGATTTTCCAAAAGGGGCAGGCTCCCATGCTGGGGGGAGTGATTTGTTCACATGAAGCCTGGGAAAGGTTGATCAGGAAATTTTTTGGTGGCATTTGCAGGCGCCAGGCTATAGAGTCTTGGCGAGCAGTGGAAAAGTGGAGGTAAATAGCAGCACGTTACCCCATTTATTTTATGTATGGATTGAAATGGAAAAGCAGTGGTGCACTCTTCACGCCTCTGGAAGAGGAACTGAGTGTGGGATAAACAGCACAGAGCAGGTGTAAAATCAGTGAATGGGCTTGAAGCATCCATGGGGGATGTGGTATGTGGTTTGGACAACTATCAGAGGAGAAGAGGACAAGGCAGTGCCGTTGCACTAGAAAGGGACATTAATGGGGAATTACTGTGTCTTTGCAGTGCAATAGTGCTTGGAGCAGCAGTGAGGGTTTGGGGCATGGGGACCTATGTGCACCCCCATGCTTGCATCCAGCCCCTGTGCTCGGCAAGGCAAATCATGCCCCAGAAAACCAGCACTCTTAATTAAAAGGATAATCCAATCAGCCACTCGAAGGAGCGCACACAGCTCCGTGTTTAGCCACGGCAGCTCCCAGAGGCCTTCAGGTCTATATTAAATCCATGAGAAGGGGCATATAGCCCCCAGCCCACAGAAACAGCCACCCTCCGCCGAGGCAGCAATCAGATCCCCAGCACCAGCAATCAGAGCAGGGCTGGGTGCGAGAGTTAATCAAAACCTATCTGTAATTATAGCAGAGCCTGTTTGAGCGCCTGATTAATATATTTATGCCGTCATTACAGGCAGGCTGCTGGTTGCAGGCAGGGGCGTGCGCAGGGGGAGCAGCTGTGGAGAGGGGGCACCGCAAAAAAAATTGTTTCAGATCCCAAATGCAATGATATGTCTTTGCCAAGGAGATTTATCGATTTAATACACCCTCCTTAGCCAGAGTGTGGATAGTGGAAGATGTATTAAATGATAAAATAATTGCCTGGGCAAAGGTGTGGATTTGGCCCAGTGTGGGGCTCTTTCCAAAGCGTGCTGGCAGAAGAAGATGAAGGGTGAGGTACCTTGACAGTGAATTTAATACACTGTCTACACAGACTTATTCAGATGTGATATGTATGTCTGTGTGTATATGTATAATACGGTGCTTGGAAAGAATACACATATATAGGGTATATATTGCATGTTCTGAGCAAGTTGTGAGTATTTTTCTAGGGAGAACAGAGGTCGTCCAGCTATCCAGGAATATTTGTGACTGCATTCAAATTTTTTTCCCCAATCCAAATGCTCAACAAATGTTTTCACATCACTCCCTTGTCTCTATTGCTGTTTATTTGTCTTGCAGTGGTGCCTGTGTCTCCTATGGAGGGGGCTCGGTGTGGTCCTCCACCAGCTGCTACATCCGTGGTCGCAGGCTGCCTGTTCATCCCTCTCCCTGCCTGCACAGGGCAAGGGAAAACTGGGCAGGACTTGTCAGATGTCTGAGCTTGGCATGGTGGCACTTGCATCCTGGTCCAAAAAGCCCAGCAGCAACCCCCTCCGTAGCAGGCAAGGAAGCGCAGCCAGCCCTCGGAGGCTGCGTGGTCTTGTGACATGGCACCCGCTGCTCTGCGCCCTGGTAAAATAAGGCAAAATCCCGAAGGGCAAAGCGAGGGAGACATCTATCTTTGGTTCCCCCAGCGAGGCAGAGGCAGTCTCAAGGCAGCCAGGTGGGGACACTGCTCCATCACACTCATCATCCCATACTTATTCGTATGAGCGAGCAGTGCCACACCGGCTGCACTTAGTTTCAGGGTGTTACGAATCTCACTGTTAACAACCAGCAGGTGAGTGGGTTTTTCTAAGCCGGCTGATCTTGTTTTCAAACATTGCCAAGCTGTGGAGGAAGGAGATAACTCAGAGGTGATCACTCAGTGTTAAGGGTTGTGTTTCTGAGGCTTTGATGATCCCTGGCCAGGGAGATTCCCCTGCCACCCCGCCTGGTCTTCTGATGCCTCTCCCCATATCCTGCACTAATGCCAGCTTTCCTCCCTCTGACCCAGCTGTTGGATGATGGTGCTGGTGAAGCACACTGGGCTGTGCTGGGGAGCACTGGGGCTGCAGAGGGGAGCATGGTCCTGCTTGGAGAAAGGCTCAAAAGGTAGCAGGGTCCCATGTGTGCTGCCGAGTGCATCCTCCAAACCATCACAGTGCTTGGTCCTCATGCAGATCTGCTGCAGCCCATGGAGTGCCCTGAGCCGGTCCCATCTCTGTTTGACCAGTGTCCTGGGATGGGCTGTGCTGGTGAAAGAACATAGTGCATCAATCCCTGCCCTCCTTATGTCTCCCTCCCTGCCACCCTACAGCAAGCAGCTGCAGGAGATCATGAATAGGCCGCATGGCATGGCAGTTTGCTTCAGCATCACCATCTGGCGATGATCACCATGTCGTGCGTGTCCCCCAGAAACACCATGGCTGTGATGGGGAGGGGAGCAAGTTTTTTTGTTTTAGAGAGAAGTCATTAACCACTGCGCTAGTTGGATGCTCAAGAAATGTGTGCTCCCCTGCCAAATCAGGGGTGAGAAATCAGCTCTGCAACCAGTTTCCCCAGAAGTGTTTTTCTTCAGCTCATTCTTCTTTTATGATTTAAAATAGGAGATAAAGGCCCTCTGGGTTCTTGTGGAGCTGCTCCAGTTGCCATGGAAATAACCCTCGTTAATCGCTTCACCATAAAACAAGAATAATTTGCTTTGGGGAGCTTGGGGTAGTCATGTTGTGCTGCTGCGTGCTCAGATAACTGGTGGTGCTGGGACCACTCCGGTCTCACCTCTGATTTTGGTCATTGCTGGCGGCATGCAGGGAGCCGGGAGCATCCATCCCCATCTCATGGCACCAAAAAGTCGTGAGTCCTGGAGGAGTCCTGTGCCAGGAGGAGCCGGCACACAGGGGTGGGCTGCCCAGCAGGGGTTTGCCTGGGCCACGTGCTGTCCCAGCAGGCACTGATGGGCTGGAAAGCGTGCGGAAAAAGTGATGCTAGTGAGTTTGGGCTTAGAGGAGCCTTTTTTTTCACCACAAGTTTTTCTTTAGCTCTGATGCTGAGTGGTTAGCTTCAGCCAGACCTGATGTGGCCAGTGGTCTCACTGGACTGGTCTTGGTCTGGTTGGGGTCAGGCCAGTTGGGCTGGTGTTGGACTCGCTGGAGTGGTGTTGGGCCAATGTTGGACGTGTTGGACTGGTTGTGCCGGTGTCGGTCTGGTTGTGCCAGTGTCCCGCCTCTGCCAGTGGCTGGCAGGAGGTGGAGGACCAGGACTGTGCCATGGGCAGGGCGCAGCAAGGCTGTGCTGGGGAAGGGGCCCTGGGTGCTTTTAACAAGATCAGTTGTGCTGTTAAAACATTTTGTTAAGTGTTTTCTGTCTTTGGAGGGTTTGGATTACCCCGGGAGCTTCTGTCACTTGAACAGCTTGTCCTCATCCACTAAAGTTCCCTTGGAGCAGCCTGCCTCCTGC